TTTACTTACATGTTACTACAGTTGGATTATGGAAGCATTGATGATGGTGCGCTCGTGTGATTGGCTTCGTCATAGACTTTAGGTATGTGGAATGAATGTGCATAACTTTGGACTTATCGTAGTTTATGATTACGATAACATCGTGCGCCTACTTACATAACAAATCAAAGGCCTATTGCATTTTATTTTGTGCATGAACTACATTTTTGTCGGCCACTATTATATATGTGTCGTTAGCGAATTGGTATACAGAACCCTCCTTAAGTACGTAACACATATCGTTACAATAATGTGTAACAATTATTCCGTCGCGCCAACCACCGAGCCTTGGGCCGTGCCTTTTTCAGTTTTCAGAAAGTTACTAAATACATTAGGTACTATTCATTTTATTCATACATTTTTAGAGTGGTCTGGCGTTTAGAATGATAATTCTCAAGAAAATCCAGAAGAAGGCCTTGGATACCATTTTATGATTGACTTTGAGTACATAGTAATGAAATTTAGTGTTTCAAATGCTTTTCTAAAATTAACGAAATGGAATTGCTCCATGATTCTTATTATTTAAACAAGTGTTTACTTGATTTGTGAATTTATGTAACAGTTGGAAAGTGTGGTGTAATTATAATTATAATAAATGTTGAATACTAATATTGAAAAACTTTGACTTGACTTTAGTTTACATTCTGCAAATGCCACTACAATTATTATAAATCAATGCAAATTCAAACTAATAAATTAACTAAACTTGATCATTCAGGACATAACACTATTCATTATGATAACGCGGCAAAACACTACAATAATATAATTTTAAGCTATCTAATTAAAAATCAGACCACAGGTAGGTACATATTAAAAGACCCAAGAATCTCGAAGTAGAAAAACCTCCTTGACATAACCTTACCTGTCAAGTTCGTTGTGAACAACCTGTCTTATTATAATATGAAAATAATAACTGCAACAACAAACAGTCCAGACAGCCTCTAGATTACGTTTCCTCGATTCTCGGAAGATCTCGGCACAGATTATCTAAATGATTATATGCTAGAACAGAAAAGATAAACCCAGGTTCGTTTCAATAGTGAAATATGACGTCAGACTAATATTAAATGTGCTATTGTAAAACCATCTAGTTTACGGTATTGTGTTCGTTTCACATGCTTTTCGGTAGATTAGTTTTTGTTTCCAATTCATTACATTAAAAAATATGACTATGAATATTACAAACCATATCAACACTAAATAAATAAATATAAAAGGATCCCGAACACCTTTAAATTAGGTAATATAGTATTAGTGCATGGCTTTCTGCCCGCGTGGAACAGGTTTCTAAAATAGGCTAATTCACCAGTGCAGCACTACTCTCCCAAATCAATAATCACCAAAGCAGTTCAGGATATTTAAGGTACGATAACGTTTTGTTAGCCCGGTCATTTACGACTTTGGATAGATGAGATAGATGGATGGATAGTTGGACTATTTCGATACACTACACGTTACGTTACGACGTAAGTTGACTGAGTAAAAGTTTGAAAAAGTAAATGTGTCTATCACTCTATGAATGTCTATCCTCTTCTATACTTCTTATATTGGGAATTTTAAATTCAAATCTATACATGTTATATCATACAGGTAGCCAAAGGCCAAATACCTTTTTCAATCTGTTTGCCACCATATTTTTTTTGTTACTAGACATTATTTACGGGCATTAGTATTATCAATAAAAAATTGTAAAATGGTTTTCCTTATACACTTAGCTTTATTTTCAATATTTTAATGAACTACGATCGAATTTACGAAATCGGAGTTTACCTAGTCTTTATTAAACTTCAAAATGGTAAGTTTCGGATACCTTTTATTTCACTTTTATTACTCTTGTTCTTGATGGAGTTTTTACTTTTTAATTATTTTTACAATTTGATAGATATTGTACATTTCGAATGGAAAGTAACACTTGATTTCTTGATTACTTAAACAATACAGCATTAAATACAACCATTTAAGAATGTAAAATAACCGTAGACAGATGCAGAAGACACACACAAGGACACAGATCCAATTAGCAAGAACTATTTAGTACTTGCTATAAGAATCAATCAAAATATGAATCACTTTTCTGTACGACGCATATCGCTTGCAATTACTAGAATATTGAAGAAAAACAACTTACAATAATGTCTCGAATAACATTACGCAAGAGTATAAAGCTCATTCCTTTGTTTTGTTGCCACGTAGGGGAGAACAGGGCAATGGGCGCCTACTAAGGGAAAGTTTTGATAAAAACCACGTTTGTCAAAATTCTTGTAATTTTTAATTATCAACTCTGACCTTTATTATTTAAGAATACTTTAATCACAGTTATAATCAACTACAGACATGTATTAAGGTACAATCATAGTTTTACAAAAAAAAGTCAGGGGCTCCTATTACCCGACAAATGCGGCTAATGAGAGCCCATTTAAGTAAATATGTAATTATTAATGAAAAACAAAATATCCAGACTTTAGAGATTCAAACAAATATAGGAATCTGGACTATCACTGCCAGAGCACTCTTTATGGGCCCAGTTTCCGCAACTTCTGCATCTGTACCACAATCTCTCCACTTTTTCCAGTGTCTAAACAAATTGTCAACAAGTCTAAACACAAACTTTTAATTATATAATTACTTTTAATCTCTTTGGTTTCTTTCTTGGTATGTTTTTTGTGGTTGTTCGATTCCTTTTACGTGGCATCTAAAACAAAAAATAAGGTATTTTATGTCTCTTAAACGTAATGAGAGCCAAGCTAGGCTACCATTAGCCGCTAACCACAATTTTGAAAAGTAACACCATAAATATGTAATTCTACTTTCAATCACAATACAACTAATTGGACTTGTTAGTAAATTAATCTAGGGATATAATAAGCATAAATACAATAAAAAAGGAATACAATTTTATGCTTACCTTGATCCTGGCAATTGTCAATTTTTTGTAAGCGTGGAGCAAAAAACACACAATCGTCCCTCGTGACCAAACGAATGACACTAGCAGTTCGAGCGCGTCAGGCGTAGTTTGTGGATAGTTGACGGAAGCAGCCAAGTGCTTACGATCGCGCGAATGTTCATGGGTTCCGTTCAATCACCATAGCTACCATTGCCCGACCGCTCTCATTACCCTGCGTTCCCCTAATGTTTTGAATCAAAGCTTTTATCTGTTTCACTTGAACTCGAGGTAGGTATTTCAGTACTAGGAAATGTGGATGAGAGTTCTCTTAACTCTGAACTTTGAATTGTAGGTACCGTAAAATGTAATTTAATAAGTGTGATGATATGGATCATCACACAATATATCTGAGGGAACCATAGCTGCCAGCAAGTGGAAGCGATACAGGCAACGAGAAAGATGGATGCCCGATGTTTCCCTCTGTCTTTGTTTAGCTAAGCTGCGATTGGCCGCTTATTAACCCCTGGTATTCCCCAGCCAACTACAGAGCTCAACTAGAAAGAGATAGAGGGGTCTATCTATAATCCATCTCTCTCGTTGCCTATATTGCAAGATTGGGGCTCTTCTCTCTGTGATATATCTTTATGGAACAATAAGCACCGGTTACAGTTAAAAATATTATAAATATATTTCAATTTTCTGTTTTAACACAGTTTTATAACACATCTTAAGTTTCTATTTATATAACTTTATCGATACACTAAAAACTTATGACAATAATTTCAAATCTTAAAACAAATGAACATAGTTTTTTTTGTTCTTCGTAATTTGATGGATAAAATAGATTACGTAAATTAATATATGAACAAAAATCTAGTACGGTTTAAATGAATTATACAAATATTATTATCATTAATTACCTGTAAGCGCCTTTAACAAATTAATAGCAGGCTCGGTCACTTGCAACGCTACATACTTGCTATGTGTCGTATTGTTACATTTTGAACGCCTATTATATTTTAATCCTTTTAATCAGTTTTTTAACACCATGAAATAGTAGCCGCCATGTTTTTTACGTCATACGGCTGTAAACTAAAAAAGATATGATATTAAAATTTAGGAAAGAAAAGGACTAGCATGATTCGCAGTCCACTGCTTTACATAGGCATCTTCAATGGTACGCCACTAGGTTAATCAGAAAATAAAACTATAATCGCTTTAAGTTCTCTGAGTTTCAACAACCAAGAAATGTCTAAAAAAACGTCGGTTTCTTCAAAAAGTTCCATGAAACAATAACCAACTCCTTGAATGATTCGTCAATTGAACAATTTCGTCAATTTAGAATTCAATTGGCGCTATATTGAACAGCAATAAGTTTTGTGCTCTTTTATTTACAGCAATTGTCTATAACTTATTATAAACAGGAAAACTTTTATTCACGTTTATCACATTGCTGTTTAACTTCTTAATAAAAGCATTTAACATGTGTTATTGACCGGTTTAAACTGTAGTTTTAAATAATAACACAGAATCGAAAATGTACTTATAATTTCAGTTATGTGACCAATTCTCAGAGAAATACATGTAATCTTGAGTCGCATTAAATGTTATCAAAGTAACTAACACAACTGTGGCCGTAATATCCCTCGCCTTTAGGTGTTCGACGCGATGCCATAATCATTATAATACGCACGCGGATTTGCGTTACGAATTTAATAGACATCATTTCGAGATAGTTCTAGCTAAATGCAATCACAACAACTTCAGTGACTAGATCATTTAGATGCTACGTCAAATCAACAGATATGTAGATTCAATCGATTTTTCTGAGCAAACTAAACAATAAAACCTATCGTCAATTACTTTTTTTAATAAGCATATATTCCCAGATATTTTAACATGAATGCATCGCTAAACCCAATATAGAATAGAAACTGTCTGAAGTGGAGCACAAATCGACGTCCCAAATATAAAAATAGAACAACGAAACAGTCCACCGTGCGCCGGCTTTCAACTTCTAACCTAAAAGAAAATTATAATCGCTTTTAACTATCTGTGTATAAACGAACAAGAAATGTCTCAAGAAAACGACGGATTCTTCAAAAAGTTCCATGAAACAATAACCAACTCCTTGGATGACGTGACGGAAAACAATTTCGCTAATTTAGAATCCAACACGAAGCGTGTCTCCTACTTGTGCAGTCTACCGATCGTCAAAAACTATGATTTAACTGACGATTTACAAAAATGTCAGACAGGCGGCGATTTTCCAGTGAAAAAAGACTTAGAAAAAGCGCGCCATTTGAAGGATCAGGCTAACAAGGCGGTGCAGAATGGGGATTGGGCAAAGGCAATGCAATTGTACAGCCAAAGCATGATTTACATGCCTGAAAAAGAAAGTAAGTTAATAACTAGTAGCCTATAATGTAAAAGGTCATGCTGAGTAGCTAAACAAACAGTTAATGGTCTCTTAGTTTCAGTAGTTCAATGCTGCTCGTGCCTAATGAAAATAATGATTATGACATTTCCTCTTCTCAATTATTTATAACGAAATTGAATAGTTGTTAACCGTATTATAGTTAAGGAAAATGATCCTACCACCACTACCAATATTAGGTTACTCATAGTGATGCATTACTATTGTTAAACACATTTATTAATATGCCGCACGATTATATTCATGTGTAATTCATTTCAGAGTTACATCTACTGGAATCGATTCGAAATTCAATATACAAAATTATTAAATATAAGATTGTTTTTATTAGAGATCGAATAATCGAATGGTGATTTATTGTTGTTGTAATAAACTTATAAGTTCATGGCCTAGATAATATATTATGAATTATGAAATTAAAATTAGGTGAATAAAGATTTCTAGTTAGACTGTATTTGAATATTCTCTAGTATAAATGTAATTTACAGACAATTAGAAAGTTACTTACTTATTAGATCATCATGTTAGACAAAATAGCTTTTAATTCATCATGAAACAGACAATGGGAACAGCTTACGATAAGTCTACCTATAAGTGTCTATAAGTCTACGATAAGGCTACCTGACGTCTATAAATTACAATTTATTAATGGTAATAAAAGTAGTAAGAGATCAGGAGGAAAACCCAAAGATATTGTTTTATGAAAACAATATTATTTACCTTACATATTAAATCTACATATATTAATGTCATATAAGTATTTTAGTACCGTAATGCGGTCATATTTCAACCGCAAAAGTTAGATAGCTTAGTTACTTAGGTATCATGTAAAATTATTTTCCTGTAAACCATACTTAACCAACATTTTGATTCTCGGTAATTGAAAATAATCATTCCTAATGTATTTGCGTAAATACACTCGGTTCCAAAATTACGGGTCAGTCACAAAAATTGAAATACCTCCAGAACTGTAAAAGTTAGATCAATGAAATAAAAAACAGAATAAAGACTTTTTAGTTGCGCTTCTAATAGCATATTATTTAAACTGGTTGATGAACAAAATTTAAAAAAATGACTATTTTTAAAAACAAAATTTTTGTTTCATTTCATTATGGATGCTTTCCATTTCTATTCTGTCACAAAAAAAAATATCGTGAACGTCTTCCACGTGCATAATTATTATTCTGTGAGGTGAAGCATGGCAGTCACGCTAGAGGAATGTACCAGAATCCTAACTTTTTTGGAACTAGGGCGAAGCCAGCGTGAAACAGCCAGAAACATTGGTGTATCTTTGTCGGCTGTTCAGTGGGTAGTCCAGCGGTACCAAGAGACCGGATCACACCTTAGAAGACAAACTGCTGTTGGTCTGAAAACTCACTTTATTCGCTTTGGAGGTGGCAATTTAAGCGCTCAAACAGTAAGAAGACGTCTTGTTGAAGCAAATTTGAAACCATTGAAGCCCGCAAATGGCCCCAAACTGGAACGGGGACATCGAATTGCAAGACAGAGATACGTGCGCGAGCACCTAAACTGGATACTAAACGATTGGTCTAGGGTAATGTTTACGGACGAGTCTAAATTCATGCTTTATAAGCATGATGGTAGGCAGTTGGTGTACAGAAGACCAGGGGAGCGCTTCCATCAAGCGTGTGTGGAGGAAAAAGTGGCGTACGGTGGAGGCTCCGTACAAGTTTGGGCTGGGATTTCTACTGAGGCCCGCACCGAGCCTCATTCAAAATGGAACTCTAAATGCGGAGAGGTACGTGGAAGAGATCCTCAATGAACATGTAGGTCCTTTCATGGCCAGGATGGACCGGCATGGCATATTAATGCATGATAATGCGCGTCCCCATACCGCCAGAATTGTACATGACTACCTTGAAGAGGTCGGTATCGAACTCATGCAGTGGCCAGCGCGAAGCCCGGACTTAAACCCCATCGAGCACGCCTGGGACGAGCTTCAGAGATGCGTGAAAGGTCGAAACCCCCCACCAATCACCACCAGGAATGGGAAGGTATTCCTCAGCACCGGCTCCGAAATTTAGTGTACAGCATGCCTAATCGCCTGGAAGCTGTCAGAAGAGCTCGTGGAGGCAATACAAAGTATTAAATGAAGAAAGTGATGAAAAACAGCAAAAAAATAAATCATAAAAAAATTTAATCTTAAGAAAAATATGACTACTTTAGTTTTTTTTTTTAATTTAGAGATATGTTAAGAGTTAGAGAGCTTAGATTTAAGTTTTATTTTATTTTTTATCTGTATAATTAAATTCTCAATTGAACAGTCTTCGTTTCATTAGGATGCATACGTAGTTCGGAAGATATTCGGGTTTATGTAACTGACCCGTTATTTTTGGAACCGAGTTTATTTTGTTGTTTATTGTCTTCATTCAAGGTCAAAACAAATAATAATTACGCAGGTCTAGGTTACAGGAAAACAAACAAAATATCCTTGCATTTCCTTCTTATTCTTAGGTATTCTCATAATGTATTATTGTATATCTAGAGTTTAGGATAAAAGGTTAACAAGTATAGTAGTAATGTGTGAAGTATTCATTTAATATAACCGTGGTAGAGTAGAGCACAGGCACAAGTGGGCCGGCTTGACTAGAGTGGTACCACGGCCTCGCATAAAACCAAGCAATTCCTTCGAGCGAGTGAGTTTACCTCAGACCCAACAGGCTGCCCCCCCCCCTCCCCAAGTCTGAGGGGGAGGGGCAATCAAAGAGGGGTTTAGTACTTATGTCTCTTGGATAGACATTTACCATCAGGTGGACCGTCTGCAAATTTGCCTCCTACGTAAAAAAAGACAAAACTGTATTAAGTACCTATACTATTTCGTATATTATAACTATATTATACCTGTATAACTGGAAACCTGCGAACACCATATCGCCTCAAGAATTTCCTGCCTCCAAAAACCAAAACTACTCTCATGTAATCCTTTATCATTCCTTTAATCGACTATGGTGATGTATGTTATTCCGACCTGAAAGTAGACCTCCTTAATAAGCTGGACCGTCTTCTTAATAACTGCAATCGGTACAACTGAAATGTTTACATTCGCCTGTGCCGCAATCAGCGAGCTCTAATCTATTTATTTTAATTTCTCATCTCCCCTGCCTCACCCACTTACCTTGCTCCCTACTTCCGTTTCTTGTCTTCTAATCAGGACAGAAATCTTCACTCTGAAATAATTTGCTTCTCCATCCCACAATTACATCTTCGTGCATTCTTTGTTCAAGCAGTTCTACTCTGGAATGCACTCCCATTTGAAGTCAGGATGTCTACAAACCACCCCGTATTTAAAAATTTATGATTGTGTATATGTCAGAATATATATGTGTATATGGTGTATATATATTCGTATATAAATGTACATATATTATGTATGTAGTGTTGTGTAGTGTATATTTTAGTTGATTAGTAATGGAACCTTTGTGCGCCTACCACTCACGGTTTTTACACTACCCGAAGGTTGACTGGAAGAGAATGTTCTGGGCTTTGCATAAAGTTATGTAAATAAATAAACAGATAAAACTTGGTATATTACAGCCGAAGAACTTTCCATTGTTTTGGCAAACCGGTCGGCCGCCCTAAACCATCTGGAGCAGTATGAGGAAACTCTGGCAGATATCAAACGATGTCTCGCCCTGGGGTATCCTCGACATTTGAGATACAAGGTTTATGAGAGAAAAGCCCGGTGTCTTCTCATTTTAAAGAGAAATCGCGAGGCCATCACTGCATTTCAGTAAGATTTTTTTTAAACTAGCTGTGCAATATATATTATATATATTCTACAACATACACACAACGCCATCTAGTCCCAAACTAAGCAGAGCTTGTACTATGGGTACTGGACAACTGATATGTATTTATATCAGTTGTCCAGTACTTATATACTTTTTTTTTTTTTTGTAAATACATACATATTATATATAAAAACACCCAGACTAAATCAAACATCAAATGTTCATGCACACAAATGTTTGACCTGAGCGGGAATCGAACCCGCGACCTTTGGAATAGCAGTCCGTTACACAAACCACTACACCATCCAGTCGTCATAGCAATAGTCTACAACGTGCTATAACACACTTGATTTTACAGAGACACATTAAGTGCACTAGATGAAGCTACACAGCTGGATAAAGAGAAAAGGCAAAAGATGCGTACTGACTCCAAACTCATGTTGGAAATTTTGAACAAGGGTCTAGTTCTGGCTGGAAATCCAAAGGATCCTGAACCTTTAAAAAAGATACCACCAACACCGAAACTATCAGGAAAACATAACCCTCAATATTCCGCCGCTTCAGAAGCCATCCAAATAGATTACGATGGCGTTCGAGGTCGATACGCAACAGCCACAAGAGACATTGATCCCGGGGATATATTACTGGTTGAGAGACCTCATAGTGGAGTTTTACTAGCAGAATTTTCCACTACACATTGTCAGAATTGTTTCTTGAAGTAAGTTAAATTTCATGTTCTTTTTCATGTAGTAAGATATTAGCACTTATTTGCCATGTTGTATGTGTGTCTATAATAATAATTACAAAAAAAAACTACTTGTTTCAGATGTCCTATTCCTATTTCGTGCCCAAAATGTCCAAACGTGGTCTTCTGCAGCGATAAATGTTCAAACTATGCTCAGAAATCTTATCACGGATACGAATGTCATATTCTTCCTTTGATATGGAAATCAGGATGTTCTATAACTTGTCATATAGCATTAAGAATGATCACGCAGAACACAAAGGAGTACTTTACTAGAATTAGCCAAGAATTAGACAACAAGTTAAGTGGGCCATATAAAACTGGGGATTATAAAAATATTTATCATCTTGTGTCTCATGAAGAAAAAAGAACCAAGCAAGACTTCTTACACAGAACACAGATGACCGTATTCCTGGTAAAATTGCTGGAATTGTGTGGTTATTTTGAAGGCCAGCCAAGAAAAGAAAGCGTAGACATCGTTGAACTTAAATCTATGGCCGTAAATGAGAAATACAAAGAGGATGTTGAACTATTTGGTGGTCTAATATTGAAAAACCTACAGATTTTGAAGTTCAACGCTCACGAAGTGTTTGAGCTCCAGTGTCCTAAACCGAAAGTTGGAAAGAATATTATCAAGCATGACGGCAAGTCAGTCTTTTTAGCCGGCGCAGTATTTCCAACTCTTGCACTTTTTAACCATTCTTGCGACCCTGGAGTAGTCAGGTAAAATACATGATAGTACTTATTTTTTAAGATCTTACTGACGTTAATAAAGTTAGCTCTTTTAACGTAAATGTTAACTATCAACAGGTATTTTTGTGGTGCAAAGATTGTTGTACGTGCCGTTAAAAGCATAAAGAAAGGGGAAGAAGTATCCGAAAATTATGGTCCCATATTCACCACAGTTCCGAAAGAGAAGAGACAGGTAGATTTGAAGGATCAATATTGGTTCGATTGCAAGTGTGTACCTTGTGAACAAAACTGGCCATTGTATGAAGAAATGACAGAAAATTATATGAGGTTTAAGTGAGTTCGTTTTTTAATTCTATATTAAAAACAAAAGAAAATTAAAACATATGTTTTTAGCATGAAGACTAAAGCTAAAACCCCTACGTGTTAGCTTATGCTAGAAACGCTTCAAGACGCTCTAACTAATTAAGCGTAATGGCAATTAATTTTAGAAGAGCGTTTTTTTTTTTTTTTCTTTTTTCTTTTTTTTTTTTGGCGTGATGTTATTAAATTTCCTGTAGGACTTCTATAGCCTGGTGGGATCCAATTTTTGTGTTAGATCTTTGATATGGAGACAGACCATTCGGTACATTTTCAGACGACGTGGTGTATAGGAAACCTTTCGGTAACATTTTACTAATTACATTTTCAATTATCGCTTTCGCTTCCACTTATTCATATTATTAAGTTTGTTCAAATACTTACGTTTCGTCTTGCAGATGTGACTCGGACCGTCCGTGTCACAATGTCGTGGCAGTTCCTTACGACACCAAGGAGTTCATGGTGCAATGCGGTCTGTGTGGTCAGTACACAAACATACTAAAAGGACTGAAGGCACTACAAGTAAGTTTGGAGAATTTGTTGTACGTTCAGATTTATAAACAGGCCCAGGGTGTATTTGTTTTTAACATGTTTGGATCTTACTGCTGCTGTTCCTTATATATATACAAAACAGCACGCCAGCCACGAGTTTCCTACAGCATTCCTCTTCTCCGAGCAACTCTTAGGATCTTGACAATACCGATGGATGTCCATCAAGAATACAGGGAGAGGTAAATTCTTGACAACACTAATCATACTATAGAGGGCCAGAAGGCCAATTCTCGTAATAAAAGTACGGTCACAATTCAGTCCCGATCATCTCTAGATAAAACTCTCGTTACTGTCATAAAAGGTATTTTCGTAGTAAAGTATTAAACATCAACGTTAACTGTGATGTGATTGATTATATCATATTGTAACCGAAAATTCAATCGGTAATCTGCTAGTCTTAGTAGTACTTTGCTATTTTATACTTTACTATTTTCCGTGGTAATACTTTACTATTTACCGCGTGGGTAAACAAATTAAGAATACGGAGTGTCACCACCCTTAATTACCCGGGATTATCCGTGCGGTAACGGATTAAGAATATGGAGTATCACCACCCCTATTCATCCCGTGGGTGTCGTAAGAATTGACTAAGGCAGCAAACTATGTAGGTCACTGCAAGGAGAAGGAAAACTTGACACAAAACCTAAATCTGTCTGGCCAGCGTGGTATAGTAGGCCAAAATCTACTTTCTAAGGAGAAACCTGTATCCAGCAGGGGACTATTAAATTCTGTTGATGATGATGTAAAAGCTTTCGACCACAGCTTCGTTCAAAATCAATTTCATAAAAACGAACACAAACTCAGTCATAGGCATAATATTAGATAGGATTAGTTAAAAATCTGCCAAAATAAAACTATTTCACTTTAAAAAAACCCCTGTTAAAAAAAGAGTCATATACCTAATACGAGTTCGAACATTATAACTAAAAACCCTAAAAATCGGCTTCACAATTCGTATTAAAAGTAGGTATTAAAAAGATGTGCCGATTTCCTACAAAACATGAAATCTCAAGCAGGAACACATTTATAGGAAAATGTACCAAATCACTAAAATAAATGAACAAATTAGTACCTACCGTCCAAATGGTATATAGGTATGCCATGTGAAAATGAAATTAGTGTGGACACGAATATTGCTGTATAAATAAGTATTGTTTACTCGCAAATTCTACTAAAATTATTACGCAAACATACTCTATAAAATTATGAGAATTTCGTGACGCGGTCATCATTCAATGGATCTAAATCGAGATAGTTTGATTTAGTTACTGTACGATATATTGAAAACTTTAAAAATGTGAAGGAATACTCATTACACTCTAAATATCTTCTTAATACACTAAAATATTAATATTAGATATACCTACTTAAAGTTCAAAAAATTACATATTATAATGTATAGGCCCAAACCTCCTTTCTAAGGAGAGGCCTATGTCCAGCAGTGGACCACTAAAGGCTGTTGATGATGTATATGTATGTAATACCTAATTCAAGTAAAAAATTCAAAACTTCATTTCATTCTAAGTAGGTACTATAGTTTTGAAAGACACTCGAGTTACGTTCATTGGCATTGTAATTATCCGTCTGGTGGTGAAATAATAAGAAACTTTTTGACCTATAGGTATTAAACTCCCTGAAGTTTGCTTAATACTGTTCACCTAAGTTGGATAATCTTAGGATATTCTAAGATTATTTATTTATTTAAAACTTAATGCATATGTTGTACAAAGGCGGACTTAATGCCATGGGTCATTCTCTCCCAGTCAACCTTCAGGAGATGTAGAAATATGATGCGGTAGATACAAAAATAAAATACTAAATTTAACATAATTGAACTCCAGAGATATACAAAATACATACACAATATATAAATAAACATACATACATAAATTTAATCTTTACCCAGTATAAAATTAAGTTGCTTTTTTTGTGTTGTACACCTAGATCTTTTAAACTAAGCAACGGATTTTAATGCGGTTTTCACCAATATAGAGAGTGATTGAAGATAAATATTTATATATACAATACATACATATTATAGTAGAGAATATCCGAGAATTTCAAAGATTTGTTGTAAAAAACATGTTTTTGTTCGTTTACATTGTATATACGCTTGCTAATCCTTACGAGGTTGAACAAAATAATGTACTACAGAATTGTATATCCTAAAGAGATCTACAAAACCGTTCGCGATGGTATAAATATATCTATCTAATGATAACCTACAGTAACCATTTTATCTTTTAAATATTACAAAAAATAATGCGTTATTTACGAAGCTCTTTTAAACAATACGTTATTATTCCTTATCCAGTTAAATACACTAGATATGTCGTGCATTTAATGTAGATTGCTCTTTTGCAGCATATCACTAAAATGAATATTTTAGAAGATATAAGAGGTTTAAAATGGGAGGGGCCTATGTCCAGCAGTGGACTGCGATAGGCTGATGATGATGATGATGATGAAGAGGTTTAAAATGCAGGGGCCCAACAACTATCGAGCCGTACGTCCGTCCCGGGTGGCAGCCTATAATTATTGCATTTAAAGATGTCCTTAAGTATAGTCCTATCATAATAATAGTATAATTAATTACTCCACACTGATACCAGCTTAGTGGTCTTAGTAGTATCTACATTGCAACTGTGCGAAGCCGGGGCGGATCGCTAATATAATATAAAAATACTCAGTCGAGTACTAGCGTTGCGACTGTTCTGCCAATTCACTCTGAAGATCGTGAAATTGGTCAAGGCGATTTATGGACATCCTGATTTCGACAGGGAGCGCATTCCAGAGAAGAACTGACTGGATGTAGAAGGAGGAGCTGATGAATTGGAGGTGGACGATTATCTAGTTCAGTTGCCAAGTTATTGTTTAAAGTCCAAGCTTTTTTGTTAATTTGAGTTTATTTGTTGTCCTTTAACGCTAGCGTGTATGAAAGAAAGGTTTGATGAACGTGGAAAAGGCGCGAGCTGTATGACGAGATCGTAGAAAATAGCGTTCTATCGTTTCTGCCTACCCTGGACGAGAATAAGGCGTGAGTCGCTGCTTAACTACTAAGCCGATTACGTTGCTAGTGTAGGGAAGAAATGGCTTTGGTTACCTTGCCAAATGAAGTGTTCCTGCTTGATTTCATGTGTCGCTTACAATACTAGCGTATTGAAAAGACGATACCGGGAGATATACCTGTGACGATATTATTTATTAGATTAGATTATTCATAAGATAACGAATATCGTCACAGTACGTATGAACAATAGGACGAAAGAAAAAAGTAAAAACAATTATTGTTTTATAATTTTTTAGATTCATAATGAGCCTCGCCAATATGTCGATAGACGGTAATCAAAACAAAAAAATAGTAAAAAAAATTACGATAAAAGATATTTCATTTATAGAAATAAACGTGTTTTTTGGTAGTATTTAATTCATGAATTTAAAACCTCGGGAATCGTTGTATTAGGATACTAGGCTATACCTATTCTTTCTTATTCACAATACCTACAATTTTTTTCTCTACGAATAAAAAAATTGATCCGCTAATTAGATGAATCGAAGAAATTACAAGAATTCAAATTCACCTTGTACAATAAAAAATAAGAAAATCAAAAAACACTTTCCTTTGCTTGGGAACTTTTCCTGTAGTTTCTTTTTATTTAATGGATAGTCAAACATTATGGAAACTGTGTTAATCATTTATTGTTAATCATACATCACAAATGACGCAAATTGGACCTCACTCATACATACGTAAACATGAACATAAAACTTAAAACGCGTTGAGACTTAATAAACTACATTACAAAACCTCCTTTCTAAGGAGAGGCTTATGTCCAGCAGTGGACTATTAAAGGCTGTTGATGATGATGATGACATTTAATTAAGAAATTCATTGCACTCACATGTGTAACTAGGGGACCCAATAATGATGATCTTTTTTTAACTTTTTTAACCAACCTACTATTGTTACTGCTACTGTTATCAATACATATAAACTCCATAGACAATGGTATAACAGTATATAGTATCGTTCTTGTACGAGTCGTCGATATAGTCGTCAGTCTCTGGGTCCCAGATGCACCGCTGACCACATTTAACTCCCGCGCCCTTCATTTCTATTAGCGTCGTTTGTACTAGAATTTTATACCTGCGAAAAATATGATGGAAAATATCTATATTTAAAACTAGCTGACCCGCGCAACTTCGTCTGCGTCTCTCAATAGTAATATTTTTCTCCGTTTTTGAAACATTATTCTTTGGTGCTCCGCTCCTATTGCTCTTAGCGTGATGATATATAGCCTATAGCCTTCCTCAATAAATGGGCTATCTAACACTGAAAGAATTTTTCAAATCGGACCAGTAGTTCCTGAGATTAGCGCGTTCAAACAAACAAACAAACAAACTCTTCAGCTTTATAATATTAGTATAGATGTAGCTCACGAATATTAAGAAAAAACATCTTATTTCATCAGATATTCATTGATTGAAGAGGGTTTTAACCTGAAATCAACGTAGTACCGATCTTTAAAAACTAAAGTTACCTTAAATGCGCACCATAAACTACATATTACTATACAGTGTAGTCCATCTGAAAGTTGCCTGTAAGAGATCGCAGCCTGCGATAAGGCGTCTATTATATTTTTTTTGTGTCTGGGTGTACTTTATCTATGATTTGTATGTATTTAGAAATATATAAGTATGTTTATCAGCATTCTGGTTACCATAGTACAAGCTCTGTCTAGTTTGGGATCAGACGGCCGTGTGTAATGTGTAAAAATATTATTTTTATTATTGTACCATTGTCGTTTTTGTTTGTATTCTGCATTGTATATTCCTATCCATTGTGTAATAAAGAGTACCTATCAATCTATATAATGATCTAAACATTGCCATGTCAGTACCTTAGTGTGTACCTCATTTGTAGAGTTTCTCAATCTACACTTCAGTACATCGAAATGGGACAGGAATGGGCGTAATGAGAAATTGGAACGATGAAACCCGGAGCAATATTTGTACTATTTCTTAAATTGTTTTATAAAGTGAGTTTTGTTCGTACCTTTTCATATCAAGCTCCTGCACTCTCTGTCTCACTCCATTGGCAATTGTCTTCGCCCACTGCGGGGCCTGGTCGGCACGGTATTGCCGGCCCATTAATTGTTGTTGCATCGTAGTCAAAATTATGTCCTTTACATTCGCTGCTTGAAACCTAATAAAGAAAACGATAATTGTTATTAACAATGCAGTTGTATCCAATAAATACAGCTAAGAAGAATACAGCTAAGAAAATTGGCAGTAAAGTATAAGTATAAGTAAGGCGCTGCGATTGGCTCGCACTGAAATCTGCACCAATCGCAACGCCGAACGTGCTTGCCAGCGAAAGCGAGTTGACGTGTAATAAAATTACACTAGGCCCTCAGATGGATGATGGATCACCTGATGGTAAATGAGTAGCCACCAACACATACAACTCAAGACACAAGAGCGTAGTCACCCTTCGAGCAAACTCTTCTCCAGAACTCTTGGTAGTAGTAACAGGTTTTCGACCAAGAAGTTCAAATGTTCTTGTAACTTGACTTACATTGCCGAATTTGAAAAAGAGAGTCTGAGGTTTAATTATTTATTTAGGTCCTTCACAGCTGACAGAGTATTACGCCAATTACAAAGTACACAGTATAACAGGTAGAATAAGTAAATAAAACAAAAGTGAACCCGTATTCCGTAACCCGTATTATTACCCGAAGCAGCTTACTTTTGTCCAAGTCCAGGTCGCACTTCATATAGCGGAGGCGGGAGAGGTTTTACCGTAGGTACTGTTTCTTCTGGAGTCTCTGATACTGCCTCATCTTCTTCGTCTAGAACTGGAGTGACAAAATTGAAAACTGTACCATTTTTTAAAATATTGATTTACATAAAACGAACACAATTTAGAAGACAGTTAATTATCATTGTTTTAACCAAGAATCTTATTTTTAATATTGGTTAATATTAGAATACATTTCAGAACTTGTAATGAAAAGGTCTAGAAGATTGTAGGGTTTTTCAATTTATCAATTCTGAAATGTTGAGTTGTTGAGTTTTACCATCATCATCAGCCATTTCGTCTTTCTATCACTCGCATCAGATCTGAAAACCTGAAAATAACAAACATATTTTGTTACAGGACACTGAAATGATGTATCGCCTCGGTCGTGCAGAAATGGAAAGTGGCCAGTATGGAGCAGCAATGAAGAAATTCATAGATGTGCTTAAACTTTACAATGAGACCTTGTCCCCACCTTATCGCTCTTATTATGACTGTGCTCAAGACCTCAGACGCTGTATGTTATCTATGGGCAACTATAGCATTGTGTAAAACTTAACTTTTTTTACTGATATTAAATGACTTTAATAATAATTATTATTGCTAATGATGCAACAAGCATATTAAAGGTCCTAATAGTAAGTTAGTTCAGAGACCTCTAACCATTGAATAGGTTTGAACAAAATATTAATTAAAAATATTTTTGGCCTGATATCAAACAATTTTCAAAGAAAATGTTTAAGTGTATATTCCAAAAATAAGGTGTGCATTGTTTTCTTATAAGTATATAATAACCTACACCTCACACTGTTTTTAAATATTAAGTGCAATGCTGCAACTGAATATCAGAGACAACTCCAAGACAACTGTCAGAGACAACGCACTAGGAATATATTCCTGTGTTGCGGTGAACTTTACAAACATAGACGGAAATAGAAACGGACACAAAGAACACCCAGACTCAGAACAACAATTTGTGAATCACACAAAGTGTCGTCCCATGTGGGGATCGAAACCAGAACACTCAGCGTAGTAGGAAGCGGCGTGGTGACCACTTAAACCACTACGCCATCCGCGCAGTCAAGTTTAAGAATTATTATCGTATAATTATTACTGGTACTAAATATATATTACTATTTCGTCCTAAACTTCGTCCGTTTCTCTTCAAAGGAACAATTTTTCATTAAATTGGTTGGCTAACCTATTGGTTGTAGCACATGTTGTGTGCTCTCTATAATAGGCTATTTAACACTAAAAGAATTTTTCATTCGAACCCGTAGTTTCCGAGATTACCCCAAACTTTACCTTTTCATAATATTAGCATAGATCTCTCACTATCTTCTGTCTCTTTCACTCACATACTTTTTATTGTATGAGATTAACAACAAAATCTGTTTGATTTTTTAAATTTAGTTTTATTAAAACCTTGTGCTGACATTAACAGACACAAAAAAAATTATCCAATTTGGTGGTCGTCGCCGTTTGGCAGTTATGCGCCTACATACATTTCGGCGATTCATTTTTATTTATATATAAGATAGATCGATAAACATAATACTAGCTCTAATACTAAATACATAATAATACAAAATAATATAATATTTATTTAGAGTGTTTTATTTTAAGTTATATGTTGGATATCCAAATTATTAATTGACATATTCTTCAGTACAACTGCGCTTTGAATTTTTACTGTGACTATTATTTTTTATTACGCCAATATACTAAATATAACAACTATTACATTGTGTGCCCAAAATTCTAATAATGAACATTGTTTTTTTTCTACTAAGTAATTTAGGAAATAAAATTTTAAACACAATTTGCCTTTTTTTCACAATCTTTATCTTTATGTTATTTTTCCAGTAACATATTTGGGGGCTCACAATAAAAAGGACAATGACTGAGCGATATAGTCTATTAGAAAAACAGCAAAAATATATTTTTTTAAACAAATGGATATTCTGTTCATATTTTTATACCACACTGATATATATATATATAGAGGGTTCCACTTAAGGCTTTTGTGACTAACAATGGCCTTTTAACAAGCTGAAAAGCCTTTTTAAACTGTTACTTAGGCCACATTGCTTCACGTCACTCTTAAATGTAGAAAAGAAGTTATATTGCTGGCAAATTATAAACCATAATATTTATAAATAGTAGAGTTAAACACAAGTTATTTTTTATCAGTGCTCATTTAAGCTCTTAATTCAATAACTTGCAGTTAGTACAACTGAAATATAGAGCTTTTTTATATTATTATTAGATGTATTAGTGACATAGACTAGCCAAAGTAAGTACTGTCAGTAAAATTATCAGCCAAGACCTTAATATAGATTGTCAGGGATTTTTCATCTGTCTAGTTTTAGCACAACACAGGCCCTTTGGTCTAGCGGTTAGTGATCCTGACAGCTAAGCCAGAGGTCATGGGTTCGATTCCCAAAAAGGACAAATAATTGTGTGATGAGTATGATCATTTGTACTTTGTCCAGTTACGTGTATACATATGTATGTATTTAGACATATATAAATATGCTTATCAGCAGTCTGGTTACCATAGTACAGGCTCTGTCAAGTTTGGGACCAAGCCGCCATGTGTGAGATGTGTGAGGTTAATGTTTAAAAAAAACAAAGGCGCACTAAAGTACACATCACATCTACCTCTCAAATGTGTTCAGAGCTAGGAAAACAGAATATTAGAGATAAGCAGTAACATCTCTCCCGAAAGAGAAGAAGAGAAAGGGGAAGTATTCTTAGTAGTAGTCTTTTAGACATTATACTATTAAGTGGTTTTCATCTAATTTATATATTTAAATGTGCCATTTTTTAGGAGAAAGGCAGATCAAAAGAAAACGTAACCTATGGTTATAATTTGCAAAATCAAGTGTCATTAGTGCGCCGACCATTCTGTATAAAGCTTGTTATTATCAATGAATCAATTATTTGTCATGCACTTACCCAGCAATATTTTGATGCGTGCTTTATTTTCTATTTTTTATTTGTTGTTTTGATAATGGAAACAAACACTAGTTGACAAGTAACTATGACAACCCGGCAGTACCGGCAACAACCATAGAGATGAAAGCATAGAGAGAACACGGGGTACAGCTGCCTGTAAGTGCCTGCCTGAAGCGATATTGGCAACGAGAGAGATGGATGCTTGATTGTGTCCTCTCTCTCAGTTTAGCTAAGCTGCTATTGCCTATCGTTAAGTGAGCATGGTTCTGATCACAGAACAGGCAAGAGATTAGAAATTTCCTCAGCCAACGACAGAGCTCGACTAGAAAGAGATAGAGGGAACTAGCTATTATCCATCACTAACGTTAACTTTTTTGCAAGATTGATTGCATTAAACTTTAGAAAAACAAAATTATATGTAAGAATATGATTGATGTGCTTCTTTTTTACCACTTTACATCCCTTACGCAAAACGTTATTCAAACTTTTTACTTATCTAGTCACTTTAACACAATATATAAGGAATTTCTCTTTTAAATACTACAAAATCCTGTGTTTTGCTGTTAGTAAATGTTTTTTTTAATAATTTAAATTTTTTCTAAGAAATTCTATAAAAGGGGTACCTTTAGGTGTACTGTAGAAAGAAAATCCGGTTCTCTCTCTCTCTCTCTCTCTCACACACACACACACACACCCTCAGCCAAGCGGCGAAAACCCCCGGTCTCTATGACGGGGTGGTTGTATGGGGTTTTCATCCATGGTCTACAGCAGAAGGCGAAACAACGAATAATGAACACTGATGGCTGCGATGAGGTCTTCATATTGCGATCATGCTTTAATTATAACCTAGGCACAAGGTAAAATTCCTATGGAGTGCACTAGTACGTCAATTTTAAGTCAGACGTAATAATACGATATACGAATTTAAAAAAATCTGTTTCACACTGACAATTTTATATCGCGCTAATAAACTACTTAATCTAAATATTATTAAAAATAAATTACACTTACTTCACTTTAAATTGATAAATAAATTGACACAAACAATTAATCGCGTCTAACTTCTTTTCTAAAGTTCATATTAGGCTCAAATTCATTTTTTTTAAATAAATGAATAACGAATTACTGAGAGCTTTTCTACATTGTAACAATTTTATTTTCTCTTTACTTATGTAGTTGTACTAATTTTATTTACTACTTTACTTTACTTTACTTTAATATTGTAAAGCTGCAATATATAAATAAAATTCTTACAATTTACCAAAGAGCTTTACAATTTACCAAATGATTCAATATCTATTTCTATTATTAACTATTCGGTAGCCAATGCCAATTCAAGTCTAGTTAATAGCTGCTGGTTGGTGAGAAACATTTCCTAAAATTGTTCAATAACTTTTATCCACAATACAGGCATCTGTAAGATTACAGACAGATACTTAAGGTAAAAGTAGAAAGGGAAAAGTAGTCGATAAACAGCCTACCTAAACCAAATGTCAAAAAGCGTTCCAATACCAAACAGATGTTACGAATAACGAAAAGCAAACAACGTATTATAGTATTTGTAGCATGTTCATTGGTTGTTTTCATAGATTTTAATGCTAAAAAAGTAATGATTACCAAAAACATCAGTTTGTATCACGCGAAAAGCATCTTGTTTGGAAACTGCAACAAACTTTGACATGTGTTTTAATTTTTTGGGTCGCTATCAAGAAATCAGATCAATTGATTTTATACTAATAAAAGTTTGTACTCTGTGATGGCTACATATGATAACAAAATTTGGCTCCTTAAAAACATTCGAGATGCTTTTATTGCGACAGACGACACGGGTTTGTGTGAAAGTGTTATGGCCGGAGAAGACTTTTCGAAAATCTTTCAAAATAAGTCCATTGAAGAAAAAAATAGGATAAGGGATGGTAGATTAAATCAACCCGGACCGAGTAAAGGTAAAGATGCCATGGGAGACATATCTGAAGAAGACGTAGAGAAAGAAATAGTAACTCGTTTTGATCCCTACCCTGATATGGATGACAGCGAAGATGATGATCCCTTATGCGATAGCTATGTGCGCAACGACCCAGGCTTTGGGGGAAGGTATGACAGGTACATATTTCACATACTAATATTACTTTAAATGTTGTTTATGTTTAGTGTGACACTATTAAGATGTTTCAGTCTTGCTTAAGTTGTACTTTCCCATAAAACACTGCGTCACGGTAAAAAACCTACATTTCTTACTCTTTTTCTAAATTTATTTAGGGTATAGTGCAACAAGTTTCTTCTTCCATTCTCCTCGATCACTCAGATCACTAATCACTCTCTTTCTAGCCATATCCTCCTTCATGCAGTGCTTCATTCATTTCAAAATTGTATGGTACAAAAATGTAAGGTTTCCCTCTTCATTATTTGTATGTACTACATGCCTATAAAGTCCAGTGAATGATGGTAAAAACAAGGTGCAACCTCCCAATTTTTTCAAATTGGTTTTTCTTAAAAATTGGAATTAAGCTCTACCAACCTTCCTCTTTAAAATTTACCCTATGGCGATGTGTGCTAATGACTCTTAGAGGTGAAAACTACCTCTAATTGACAAAATTCATAAATTTAGGCATTTAATTAATGAAAGAATGCATATAGCTTTTGATTCAAGATAGTTTGATAGTTTAAAACACTATTTGTGAGTTTTCAAGCCCTATTTTATTCTCTATGCCCTTTTAAAACACCCCTATTGCTATAAAATTGATAGCATAAGCTCATGTAAGTTTCATATACCTCAAAAGCTTCATTTTATAAAGGTCAACAATGACAGAGCTCAAGGGTGGTACTGATTTCACACTAATGCTAACTTTGATAAGCCATATCTCGGATAATGTTTGAGCTAAATTTTTCTTTCAGAATGACAATGCTAATTTTTTGTACTCTTGCAATTTGTTAGTTTTGAAAAAAGACAATTGTTTGATATGTTTCAAAGAGACCAAAGAGCATTTCAAACTGGTCAAATTTTTGTATCATATTTTGTTCAAATAAACTAATTTGTGTGTAACATTTAATTCCAATTACAGTAGTAATGAGACGGGTTTTTTGGCATAAAAAAAATCATTTTCACCAGCCAAAACAACTTTCTTTTTGCCATAACTCTGTTACTTTTTAAGCTCTTTAAAATGCGTTTTTATAAGCCTTTATAAAAACGATCTCTTAATGTACTTTAAAAAGGATCTAACCACTTTCATCGTAAAATGTATATTTTTTTTGTAATGCAATGTTGAAATCTTTAAATTATATATATATATATAATAATTTTAAAATAAAAATAAGGCCTACCTACAATGAGCTATAACTGTGGAAAAAAGCACACATCAGCATTGGGTAGATTTTACTTTTTGAGGTACTTACTGTCAAAATTTCAGCAAAATCTTTGATTCTTGAAAACAGAATCTATCTTCCGTCATTCGCTGGACTAATATTTTATAATTAAAACTTATTTTGTAAATATTGAACCACCCAATCTCTTACAACAACCCACAATCTCTTAGCAGTCAGAATTATTAATCATTATACTAACAAGCCAGCCAAAATGTGTCAATGTTATTATAGTTTTTAATTTACATAGTTTTGATTTTCTTCAAACACATACTAATATTTTGTATTGTTGTGTCACAGAAATAGAACTAACACAGGACAGTGGTTGGACAAAAAAGAGCAGGCATTAAAAAAAGCAGCTAAAATAAAAATAATAAAATGGGAAGACTCATCACCGTTAACTGCAGATCAACTAGCAGAAGCATTTTCAAAATGTGAAGTCAAAAAACCGGAAAAGACAAAATCGTTACTTACACAACAACTGCAGAATTGTCCGAATCTACCTCATCGTCAATATCTGGAGTATGCCAAGTTTGATGGTACAGCACAGTTAGGTCTCCCTATTAAGTCATTCAAAATATTCATGACAATGTTGCCAGAAAAACATCAGAACTACCCATTAGTTGTGTGTGTTATTGCCAGTGCCAAGATTAAGGATTTAATAGGTTTCACATGCTATAAATACAGGTAATTATAATCTATCTATACTAATATTAATATGATAAAAATGAAGGGTTTTTGGTTTATTTTAACACACTAACATCTTGAATAATATTTTATATTTAAGTTTTTTCGTCGTATCTTGAATGTTAGGTTGTAGCACAAAATGTAGGTAAAACATACTCATGTTATTGAAGTTATTCATACTCCTATGGTTGAACACTGTGTGCTTAAATATTTATATGGTTCGAATGGGTTATCAAACATTACATTACCATAGTAAAACCAGTTTAAATACCTTTTACTTTAAACATTTTACAAAGTCATTTTGGTTATAGATAACCTTTAAAACCACAGCATTAGCCTTATTCCTGAATATTATTTCACATCTGGTAAATAATAATAATAAGAATAATAACTTCACACATCTTACACACGGTAGTCTGATTCCAAACTAGGGCAGAGCCTATGCTATGGTAACTAGATTACTGATAAACTTACTTATATATTTCTAAATACATACCTATTATATGTAGATAAATTATAACCATACACAGAAGAAATGATTGTGTTCATCACACAATATTTGTCCTGGGTGGGAAACGAATTCATGACCTCCTTCTTAGCAGTCAGGGTCACTAACTCCTAGACTAACAGGCCGGTCAAATGGTTACTAAGAACATTAGTGAAACAGATATATGTATATAGACCAAAATATTAAGTAGGTACTTATAGATCTATGTTTGTGATGTATCTAAATGTGTCTTACATGTGAATATGTTACGAAGTATAATTTGCATTGTTTATGTATAAAAAAATACATGCTTTTTACAGCATTGAACATCCAGACATATCCCTTGGATCTGTGCATGACTATGGACTTTGCATAGCAGAGGATGATGGAGAGGTTGACTGGGCTTTCCCGTGCCTTGATGCCAATGAACCTTGTTCCAAATTTGGCTTCACATGCCTTGGTCTTATTGAACTTAAGAATAAAACTACTTTATGTCCAGCTCCTATGCCAATACCTGAAGATGGTATGAGTGGAGCATTTCATGTTTTTCCAAAGGCTGAAAATTCAAGTCATAGTAATCAGAACCCTTCAAGACTTAATACAGGAGATAGTTCTACATCAGAAGCTGTTATAAGTGCATTGAAAGCTTTAAATGAAGGTAATATAATTGTATTTACTAATGTATACGTACTAATGGGTATTTAACTAGTTATGTATAGTAGATTTATGTGCAGAACATTCATAACTTTATAATTCATCTGCACTCTCACTCCTATTACACCTACCTGAATGGAAAAGCATATCTTGGGTATTTCTGATGCTATAGCCAACATTGGGAGAGGCCTATGCTATGCCAGCAGTGGACTGCTAAAGACTAATTGATTGATTGAGTTAAAATCTTACAAGAAGAAGTTAAAACTTTTATAGAGTTGCCCATTTGAAGTGATTGATTATCCAACCATTTAACTGATAGTATCATTCTTTGTTGTCGTAGTCATAAAAATCATTTACATTCAATACATAATCATTTACAGGAGAGCCAGACTTAAACAAGATACAGTCTCACATAATGGCGACGGAGGCCCCGCAGTACAAAGCGTACAAAGTACAATTGTTACGCAAAGTACGTACAAACACATCGGTACAGTTGGGCATTTCTCTAGATAGGATAGAAGTTGAGCCCCTTGTTACCAATAAACACGCTTTCTGGGTAAGTTTTTTTTTTAGTGATGTAAGGTTAAACAGCAATGATTATTGAATGCCTAACTTAGTTTCATTAAAATCTTAAAATAAAGTTTAAAAAAATACATTTACTCTTTGGTACCGGTAGATCTAAGGCTACAAATGGCATGTGAGAACTATACATGTAGTTGTGGTCAGATGGTAGGATCAATTAAATGTACGCAATTAGAAGAGAGAAAGCAAAACAACGGTCGGAATAAGAAGCTTATCACTGTTTGCAATTACAATGCTTCGAAATTTCATGTAGGCCCGCCTACAGGTGCCATGCATCGACTGTCGGTGGAGGCGGGATTGACGCACATATGCATACACACACATCAACCAATCATTACACATAGATGGTATTATAAATTGAATGCGTCACCTGTTTAAAACAGCATTAATATAGGGCAACTTGCAAAAGATGGCATACATGACAGTATACAAAATAATGATTTAGGTTAATGTTGCAAGTAATAATTTTATATTCTCCCTGTACAGTCTAGGTCGAAATACTTCCTTCACAGCATAGATTCAGTGGCGTGGTGTCAAATATTGGAGACAAGAGGCAACAGGACAACTTTTAGGATAGTCTACTCACCTAGTCATAATGCTACCTACAATGATAGAATTAGTACAGGTTGGTAATAAAATCTTAATGTTACGGTTTGTGATTTGGATTAAAATACCTTGTGACATCTTAAGATACTTTATTTACGAAGACATTTATATAAGTTCATTCAATAGTTAATAACAGTCCAAAATGATCACCGAGGTCACTGGGTTACTCTTCTGTTCGCTTAGATCACTTAGATGTTTATCTCACTGTAGCCTAAACTGAAGTCTCTGAATATATCTGTTTATTCCACTCACTAGACTAGAAAGTTTTCTCCAGAGTTTTGGGCAGTTCACAAACTCTTTTCGTGACATTATTGTTGCGCCATAGGATTTAGTGATTTTGGTGTTGTGTCTGGAGGACAGCGCCATCTAGTATCAAGTGGGGCACAACACTGCTTATGGTGATACGAGAATAACGAGTGTAACGAGATTATGGTGCTTAATTCCGATACTTGCTTGCAGTGAGATCTGGTGTCGAATATAGGAAGATTATAGAAATTTGTAGATTCTTTGTTGTACGTGGTTTTGTTTGAAACATTCCATCGGATTTCCGGGATTAGTCTAGTAATTTCGATAGCACTATCAAAGTGGAGCGTGTTGCCTGTACGGGACAGTATTGTTTTAGGACAACGAATTTTTAGTGCGAATAACGAGTTATATAGTGATTTCTTGTTTGTAATAGTGAGTGTTTGTAAATACAGTGCAATAAAAGTAATTAAACGACTACTTTTGTTTATCGTATACCCCGCTCGTAACAATACTATAAACCAAGATGACTTGTAGCCACGTAGTTATTTTTTTTTATTCGCCATAATCACGTTCGAGAAAATAACCTCTAGGTTGTAGTGTTCAAAAAAAAATTTTTATTTGGAAATTCTAGTGTTTTCGTCTTAAATTTGCAGGTCAGAATACCTATATATTCCATCCGAACACAGCATACAAAATTCAAGACTTCGAAACCGACCACGAAGTCGCTAAAGAAATAGTAGAGAAAGTGAATACTATTTTAGACTTACGAAACAGCCCATGCCGACGTGAGTACAAGACTGCCAAAGACAAGAAATTACAGACCAGACGGAGTTTTCACACGAAACACTTAAGCTGAGTGTCGTAGCATCCCCTGTAGTGTAATGTACTCTTATTAAAGTTCCTGAATGCACTCTTAAGATTACAAGCAAGTGAAAATGAATCCACAAGTATACCTGAAAATAGAATTTTTGGGTCAATGTGTCATACTGTTTTGATTGGTCCCAAAAATAAACATGGCCCAACTTCTGAAACTCACACTAAATATTTTCAGTATATAGCCATAAAATTGAAATAGTTATAGAATATTTGTACCATGCATATCTTTCACTGTTTAAAATTATTTAGTAAACATTTACTGGGAATATTACGTTGTAATGATCTAGTCCTATCCCTGTCTTATTCTAAATAATTCTAAATAGTGTACTTGTATTTATTCTAATATTAAGGAAATGTTTAATCTCAACACCAATTTTGCAATAAATTATTTATATATAAATGTATTTATAAACAATATGTAATAATAATGAAATAATGTGATTTATCTAACTTTTAAGTGACCTCTCAGACTATAAAAAAGAAAATTGTATGTACTACAACAAATTACATCCCTTTACAAAAGCATTAATATGTAACATAGTAGACACATACTGTGACTCATGCCTTCAACAGGTGTATTATTTCCTATCTTAAGATTAAGTTCATTATATTGCATTGAATACCTACTTAAGAGCGAGAACATTCCTGAACGTGTGCATTTGTAAAGTGACCTTTTTTAGTGCTTACAATCTGATAGCCTTCTAATATATACAATGTTAAATTCATTTCATGTATTGTAATAATAATATATTATACTAATTAAGGTCTTTGAGGGTATAAGTTTATTGTGTTACATATTGTATTCAAGTTAAAAATCCATGGGAGAATAATCACACATAGAATCACTTTCATACAATCTATACCTAATCTGCCATAGTCAAATAAGAAATCGAATTTTATATGTCTTTACAAAACTGTAAACTGAAGATCGAAGATGGATTAGGTTATAAAATGATGATAAAATATCAATCTCAAGTATTGACATAATGCATACATAATAAATAATGCATTAATTGAGGCTTGATAGTAAAATAAACTTTGTTCAACTGTCAATTCACTGTCTGTGTGATTCTATTCTATTTTTCTATTATTATTAATGAGTATAAGAAATTTGTTGTGTAAATGTATAAAAATTCTTCGAGTAGGTCACTAAAAGTGCTATATTCACGTCCACTGAAAAGTGATGAAAAATTATGATAAAGTGATTAGCATTCTTGGTACCGCGCTAAAAATCATTTTTATATAATAGCTTTATGACTCATACCCTCTTTTCATACTTTTCTCTAAATATTCGCGAATGAATAATGATATTTCGCGTAATATAGCAAAGACAAAATCGATTAAATGTGTTATAGCTATATATAGTATAGAATTTTTTTACTACCAAATGGTATAAAAAGAGGATTGGAGTTCCAGCCAGTATTGAAGGTACCCGAAACATATGAAATTTATTCACAAAAATGGTAATTTTTTAATAAATTTGTATCTAGATTTATAAGAGAATTGTTATATCTTAAGAGTGTTAGTGTAAATGAGTATTGAGTTTTTAATTTTATATAATATATTTTAAGTTGTAATAACTTATTTTTCGTCCATATTTTAGTTGCATTAGAATTTATATAAACGCTTTAAGTTTGTCGTCTTATAGGATTCTCTTTCAATAGGAAAGTAATTAATGCAATGAAGGATATTTTTTTTAAACTGTGATGTCAAAAATAAGCGTATTTATTCAATCACTTAATACATTTCTTAGAGATATATTTATTGGATATATCGTATATTTCGAAAAGTATCTGCAAGCATTAAAACTACCTTAGGAATTTTAATTCTGATATTGAATCAGGTAACACACCAAGGCCCATTTTCGTAATAAAAATTCAGTTCCGATCAACTCGATCCCTCAACTGTCATAAAAGGTATTATCGTAGTAAAGTACATAAACATCTGTTGATTATATCGTATTCTAACCAAACATTGAATCGGTAATCAGCTAGTATTAGTAATACTTTACTATTTTACTACGAAAATACCTAATATGACAGTTAGAGAACGGTCAGAACTGAATTGTGACCGAACTTTTGTTATGAAAATTGGCCTTCAGACGAAATTAGAAGTATTGTTTTGTGGTAATAATACAACAGACTGAAACCGCTCATAGGAACAAACCTCCACTGCCAGAAACAGCTCAATTTTGTGTAAACAAACGATTCATTGTGTACATAACTCTTTTTTCTTAAAAAAATCAATGGAATTCTTAACTTACTAGAATTTTATTATGAAGTTAATCCTACTTTTAAAGTTATTTATGTGGTCTTATTTAATAAAATAATGGGACTATCAAGGAAGAACAAGCTGAAACGGAGATGAAACTAAATTTCAATAAAAACTTGCACGAACAAATATAAATAATGTATATTCTTATTACAGGATTTTGTGCAAGAAGTTAAATTTGGAGCTGTGGCTGTCCTTATTTTTTAATAATGAAAGAACAACATATTGCACGAACTCAATATTATGTGACATTGTGACTTGGCAGATGATGTGTTCCCTGAAAGCATGGAGATTTTATTAAATACCGTCCCTTGAAAATGTTAGCCATAATAATAATTAATAAAATAATACTGATTTGTGTGTGCAATGAAATGCAGAGCTGATTCAGCAGCAAAGTTAAGTATATACTATGATTAAACAATTTCTCGCTTTCTCTTTCTTACACAACTTTCTTTTTGTAGTCAAATTACTCTAATGAAATAATTTCCACCTATCGGTTTTGTCTTGTCTTTAAATGTAATCCGTTTTAGATAAATTGTTTGAGCAATAAATGTTACGCTATCTATGCCATTGCAAGGCCAAAATTTTGTGGTACTGTCAGAGTTATGTACGCAATCAATTGCAGAAACATTTAATGTACAATATTAATTCTATTAAATGTATGAATGAAATAATTTATGTTGTGATTTAATGTTGATTTCAGAATAAATCGAATTTATTATTTTGAATGAAATAAAATTGTTACTCATTACTTAAAACGACTTTGCTGTTTTATTTAGGTTTAAAGGTTTAAAGTTGGAAAATTTTAGCATTTACCAGTACAGTTTAAACCCAACCACCAAGTTTTAAAACCAACCAGATGCATGATGTTTTTGAGACATTGGGGTCCAGCTCATGGTCATAAGAAACTGTTAACCATATGGCAATAAAAAAACAATCTAACTCACAGTTAGTGTCTTTATTTTAAAATATTTACAAAGTTACATTAAGTTAGTTTATATTTACAACTATTAATAAGGTACTGCCACTACAAACAGACCTTACCATCAAGTATTGCCATACTAAATATTAAATTGGAAAATTACTAAACATTCCTATACTTGTTAATGATTTATTATATATATGAAGGCATTCTCACATAAGAAGCTCTAAATGTAAACTATTTACAATTTAAATAAAGTTGTAAATTCCTGGTCATTCTACTATGTCCAATGTACTATTCTCTAAGATGTAATTTGTAACCGAGTCAATCATGTCTTCGCTGTTCATCAATATAACATTGTCTAGTTCGCTAGCTCGCCTGAAGAGTTCTCTAGTCTCCAATACACTTTTATGAAGCTTTTGTTGGGAATCAACAAGTTTGGATAAGTTTGGTTTGGCTTTGAGAAATTCTATGTCTTCAGTTGATAGAGCTGAGTATGATATTCTTGATCTGCTGGAAGCTTTGACTGCTATCTGATACTGTCTGTAAGAAACAATAATATTAGTGACACCTTCTTTAAGTGACATGAAGAATTTAACTACTTCCATGTGCCAAATTTTATCATAAATATTTTAAGTTTGATTATATACAGCTGAACTAATGAATTAAAAATCAATTATGGTACCAAAACGAAAAACCTATGATTACGACAGCCAAACTTCTTGGATCAGTAAGTTTTAGTTTGTTAAAGAAGACATTTGATGATAGTAATATATTAAAAAAATTGATAAAATCACTGTAAATTATATTATTTAGCAACTACATACTGCCTTAGGTCATGATATTTGTTCCTCCTTTCATTTACTTCCTTTTTCCACATTTCTTTTTCTGCCAACAGTTTCTGGTAATATCTGAAAGCAGTAAAATAATAGATAAGTTGGAATAATGGCAGATCTAATACTTTAGACTGCACGTATGGCGTAGTGGTTTAAGCGGTTGCCACGCCGCTTCTTACTACACTGAGTGTTGTGGGTTCAAACCCCACATGGGACGACACTTTGTGTGATCTACAAATTGTTGTTCTGAGTCTGGATGTTCTTTGTGTCCGTTTCATGTATGTATGTAAAGTCCCCCGTGACACAGGATATATTCCTAATGCGGGAGTTGTCTTTTTAAAATAAGGAAGGAATAACATGAGCCATAGGTTTTTTTTATGGGATGTAGGAGGGTAAACAAGCAGATGGGGATACCCTTGAATCCTAGAACTAGAATCAGGGAGGGTTTAGACTCTGGTTAATTCACTCACTCTATGAAGCAATGAAAGAAAGGCTTAACCATATTTACTTCACTTTATTCATTTTCCTTTTATTATTACATAATTTACAATCTATGTTAAACTAATCTGAAATAAGTTTTATTTCCCCAGTAGGGCTGACATCCCACAGGTCACAGGCTTTAAAATTAATCAGTCAAAACCCTCTTGCAATGCAACAAATTGTACTGAGACTGAATAAATAAAGCAGGAAGATGTTGGTGACTGTAATTATTTTGTGAAAGGAGTCATTAGTTTATATTGAAAATACTTCACCTATTAAGGTCCTGAGTCTGCCTTTCCTTCACACCTGTGTCTTTGTTATTGACATTAATAGTCTCTGATATTGTATTTGGAACTGAAAACAAACAAAGAATATAACACAATATACATTGGCATTGTTTAAGAATTTTGAGATTTTTCAGAATGTGGAGCGAAATCTCCGGCACCACCATCTATTTGAAAGACAGTTTACAGAAGTAATTCATTATATATAACTATTTAATCCAGGCGAAGTAAAGTTGAATCCTTAGTAGATGTATTAATTTAAGTATTGTTTACTTCAATAATCTCCTGGGTAGCGTTATTTGGGATACTCACTTATAGAATCCCTTCGTTCAAAGAATGTTGAGCGTCTTCTCCTTGGCGGAGATCGAAAGGATTGTTGTGCTTCACTTTCGTTTATAGAATTTTCCATTGTAATAACTTTTTATATATTTTCCACGACTCTTTTTCACTTTTCACGGAAAAGCAGATATAAATATTTTCAAAATTCTAAACAAGACATGACGTTACAAACGGACGCCACTATTGACATATGATGCGTTTGGATACAAGTATACAACGATACAACGAACCAAAACGTAAAAAATATATTATTTTTTGCAATGATATTTTTCATCTGATACATATTATATAAGTATTAGTTTTATATTAGTATACTATTTTAGGCAAAAAATATTTTTGACTATTGGAAATATTATTTATTTATTTAAACTTAATGCACATATTGCACAGAGGCGGACTTAATGCCATGAGGCATTCTCTCCCAGCCGACCGACTCGGTGATGTAGAAATATGATGCAGTAGGTGGAAAGATAAAATTAAAAAAAATGTTGTAGTTCATAGTTTGGTAAACAAAAGATAAGCCTACATTACATATAACGAAAATAAATAAATTCGTTACTACATATTTTATGATATTTATGTTTTGTCAGTTAGGAGACTGACAAAACCTGTAAAATCCCAATCACTCACTAGAAAACCCTGTAAAAGAATCGGACGCATCAGATTAAAATGTAAACTTGACCCATTAGCGTCCATATGAATGGAACAAATAAAATAGTGATTGATCATGTTCTTTGGTTAAAAATACATGAAATCAGCGAAATTGTGGTTACACTACCACGAAGCCATTAAACAAAAGTTGAAGTTGAAATTCTTTGGTTCATAAACGTAAATACGTATTTATTGTATATTTTCAAAAGTCAGAATTGAGACATTTTGACATTTTAGTAGTCTTGTTCCCCATAATCTTATTGGTATACCGACGAAATAACGAATCTATGTAGGTAATATTGTGTATCAATTAAAGTATTTATTTATTTATTTCCCTCCGGCTCACCGCCTTCAACTCTATAAGGCGCAAGTCCGGCCGCATATGGAATACTGTTCTCATCTCTATGCAGGGGCACCTCAGTACCAGCTTCTCCCTCTGGACCGCCTCCAACGAAGAGCGACTCGAATCGTCGATAGCCCAAACATCTCCGACCGGCTCGATCCCTTGGCGTTACGTTACGTAGAGATGTGGCTTCACTCTGCATTCTCTATCGCATATATCATGGAGAGTGCTCCGAGGAATTGTTCGGACTAATACACGCGCTCCACTACTGTGCGCTTTTCGAGACACTTTTTGCCCCGCACAACCAATCTGTGGAACGGGTTATCGTATTTCCAGACCGACCTTTGAACCTTCAAGAAAAGAGCTTACTCCTTCCTAAAAGGCCGGCAACGCGTTTGTGACTCCTGAGACGTTCATGGGCGGCGATAGTCACTTTCCATCAGTTGACCCGTCTGCCCCCTCTTACATAAAAAAGTACCTGCTTGACCGAGCTGTGCTAGGTTTTTTTGGTAAATTTTCTAAAAATGAAACCTAGCTAGATCGATTAACCGCCCCTGAAATCCCCTTTTTTTTCACCCACCAGTGGTTATGTCGGACCGAACCAACCAAAAACCGCATGCCTTCTCGGATACCAGTTGCCGATGAACCAGGTGTATCTTAGGAAGGAAATCCTTGATTCTTCGACGTATCTCAAGCCATCTACGTCGTGTAGATGACCCCCTCCTGTATGGGCCCCCAGGCCTGCGCTTATGGAGGACGGAGGTCATGCCCCCGAAACCTACTGCATACTAAATTTTATGAAAATCTTTGGAAATTCAGATTATATACATAAATATGCATATATACAAGAATTGCTCGTTTTAAGGTATTAGATAGATAGATTTAATCTAACCTTCACTCAAGTGTTGGTTGTGATCTTTTATCTGTGGTCTAGAGTACTTTTTAATCTGTGACAAACGGTAAACAAAACATGCAGAATGCAGATAGATGCATATGAAAAAACTTTAAATCTTGTCCTTTGTATTTGTATCGACAACTTTATTTTAGTTAGTCTTTCGTTGCCAACGTTACTGTACTGCCATTGTTTAATACCAAAGTTTAGTTGACATAACTTTTGACTATACTTTACGTGAAACGGATTTGCCATAAGGCTGACATTTTTAATTTGACGTTTTGTTTTCTTTAATCAATTCGTCTATCTATCGGTAAATAGGTACCTTCCGCACGTTTTAATTATTTTGCATGTTATAATAATAAAAGAGTTCCTTGCTAAAATGTTTTGTTCTCGAAAGAGAACCTAAAATTCAATGGGTAAGATCGCTTTACCATGTGTTGTAGAATTAACAATAACATAGTGTTTTTTACACGAAAATCTTAGCGCATAAAGCAGCAGTGCTGTGAATTATATATTTTTTATAACTGTTTCCCAACAGCGTGCAGTGATGGAGTTCAATGAATATTGCACAAGAAATGTATTGGCCCCGGTAGATGTAGATTTTTATCCTGATCGATCTCGTACGCCTAGCCCGCCGCCCGTATTTTCATCTAGTGTATGCTGCGATTTGGAAGACATCTTGAGCGAGGTAAGTGCACACATAGTTTTTCATCTTTATAAACGTAATATTACAGTTTAGACCTTTAAAAGGATGGAGACAATGCAGTTTGAGGGTATCTTTGGTAGGCTGCATTAAAAACCTTTGTTTTTTTTAGTTAGATGCATAATGTAAATACACAAACTGGTTTTTGTTTGGTCTGCTAACACAATTAGAATATTAAGTAACTTTGTATTGATGTAGAATGGATAACAAGTTATTAGCATTTTCTTTCAACAATGTTTATTTTTTAACTTTATTTTAATTTTAAACATCTTCTGAGAGTTCATTCTAATCTATACCATTGTGTGTGCTGCATTTAAAAACTGATAAACAATGCTACCACTTTGTAAAAGATTAGATTATTCTAAAGATATCGTATAAGCAGAATGTGCTGGTCCTGATTACTCAGTAAACTGATTCTTTCTCTCTGTATCACTGGGTAATTGACTGACCTTGTATGTTGTTTCTGTGTTCACATAATAAGTATCTGTGTGCTGTTTACACAGTATGTTATGAATGGACATGTAAAGGTAATATATTTTCAAAGCAATATTTTCTATTACTGCAATTAGTTAACAGAAAGTGTTTTGATATCAGTGGTTCTAGTGATGTTAACAATGTTACTATGTCACAAAAGTCAAAGTTTAAAAAAAGAGGAATAACATGATCATAATAGACCAAAAACTTTTTAATATTGTATAATGTATTTATGTAAGTACTTTCTAGTGTATATTTGTAGAAGGACTAACTATAAAATTGTGATTAAAATAAGATATATTGCCTGTAGCAACTGCTTGAAAAATATTTTAACTATTTCTCTTTTTTGTTGTGTTGATTTTTTTTGTGAAAATTTATGTATATTTATGTATTAGTAGTTTATTTGTTGTGTGATACTTTAGTTACATAGCTAAAATTAAATTGATATCTACCAAATTGTGTTACATTTATTCTCTAATTTGACCTATTGTTGTACAACTATTTATTTTGCTTATTAAATTCTCAACAGTGCCTGTTTTTAAAAAAAATTGTTTGAATTCTAAACAATTAGAATATTGATGGGTAGAAACTAAATACCGTATTCCTATTTTCCCAAGCTTATTTTAACTGGTATCAAATATTGTATTGTTGTTTGTTTATTTTAGGCTATAACAGAACCACTTCAAGGCTCTCTGCGCATAAGTAGAAGCCAGTTAATAAACCAAGAATTGACCATAAGACCAGAGGCAAATATTATCGCAAACGTACCGGAAGATTTAGACCTTTATAACGTTATCTTTGAGGTGGAACCTGACTCAGAAGTTAAAATGAGTGATGTTGATGGAGCTGCTGTGGAAAATAATACGTTGAGTGAACCGGTTAGTGCTTCAGTTATATTACTTCATTTACAGCCATAAAGCATTAAAAAGAGTATGTTAGTTTACCTTCTATCATATTCTTTATTGTTTAAGTTATTTAGTGTGATGTAGTATGTTTTTAACTGAATTTTCGTTTATATATTTCTTAATTGGATACAAAATTAGACAATGCTGATATTTTGAAGCTAATTTTTGTATCAGGATTAAGTCTATGGTGATGGCTTTCAATAAAATTGTTTGCATCCTATATTTTTATGTGAATAGAGCGTTTCCTAGTTTTCTAGGAAAAAAAGATTAATGAGTCCTTGAAAACATGTTTGTTATTACATATTAATAAGTATATTGTTTTTTTGTTAATATTTTAACACAAAGACACATTATTACTGTTTTGTAATACTTTTTAACTGTTTAAACACTGAGATGTAACTATTCCCCTTACCAGGACTATCAGTAGTCGAAGTATCGTCGAAATTTAATTTTTTGAATGGTTGTCGTTTCTTGGCTGCACTTGCTAGACTGTGACGACAATTTCTTTATGCATTTAGAAGTTAATAGTGTTTGTTAGCTCAGATTTACGATGTATGAAGATCATATATTACGTTTAAAAAGTAGTGTTTGTTTGCTCTGATTTGCGATGTATCAAGATCATATTTTAATCATATATTACGTTAAGAAGAAACAAGCGAAGAAAAGAAATAAGAAAATTCTCTAAAGTTTGTCGGCACGATCACGATCGGTGTTTTATTTATTATTAAATGTTGTCGAAAGATGTTCCCTTTGTTCTAATAATCGTTCCATGTAGTAAAAAGTCGTAGACCTTAGATAATAGTGCCGTGCACACCAGCGCCTCCACCAATTCGGGCAAAAAAAAAATAACCATCACGGAACGTCTGGCAGATGTGAAACATCTAAATGAATTGGTAGAAATAATTACTATAAAAGCAAAGGAAACTTAGAGAATGTTACACCTCATTACATGTTACATATACTATCACATAGTATGGCAACGAGTCGCTACGTCAACAGCTGTTCTGTCACTTCGCATTAGGGAACGTATTCACATTAAAAAACAAGGGCACAGTAATTCAATGCGATGCTTTTCTCGAATGTATTTAGCATTTTTTTGCTATTGAGAATAAGTAAACCATAATCTTGACGAATAAAGCTAGAAACCTTTTTTTTTTGTGGCCAGGCGTAATAAATAAAGGCTATTTCTCTCCCTTCCTCTATTCAACTCAAAATTCTAAAGTACTTCTTACAAACACATACTTCAAAAACACTAAACATTTAGCCTATAAAGAGTAAACCTCACAACATGCACTGAGACAATGACTATCTACAAAACTAGTATATATCATATCAAAAATATACATATAATAACAATTAAAAGTACCGCAACACGGGTTTTCTACCGCAAAAAATTACGAGAGCTAATTGTTATCTAATTAGTTGACTAACTACATTTTATATTGACTATTAACTTTAGATATCTTTATTTCATTAACACTTATAATGACTTGGCAATTAGACGTAGTAAATGAATTTATAAATAACAAAATTAACATATTAGGCCTACAAGGATCTGAATGTTGGCCAACGACGAGTATGTATAACAGACGCTTGCAAGTAGCGCCAAAAGATGAAACATAAGGAGTAACAGGTTATCCTGGTATGGAAATGTGATGCATAGACATGAGCAAAAAGTAGTGAAGAAAGTTTTATGTATAGAAGTTGACAGATAGAAAAGAGTAGAGGACGACAAAAGAAAAGACGGATGGATTGCGTAAAAGCGGATATGGCTAGAAAGGTAGTAAACAGTGAACTGACGAGTGATAGATGAGAAGGCGAGGTGAAAAATTATTGCGCCGACCCCAAATAAATTTGGGAAAAGGGAAAGAAGATGATGATTATACTGATATTAAGACACCCAGAGGTTTATTTATATTTATATGTAAATAGTACAAAATATATTTATTGCGGACGTTCCCATAAATATATGTTAATGAAGTGACACTGGTCCTTGTCATCTCAAAAAAAGTATAATATTCTCTTTTTTTCGAACTCTTATTTGGATTTTAAAAAAAACAATAAAAAAATATACATCTACAAAAAACAAACAAACATTTATTTTAAATATAGTGGGTATCTCTCATTATGACCCCTTGAAAACGCAATAATAGGGTCACTATAATAAATTATGACACTTAAAATTAGTACCTCAAAGTACCTCACAGTTTCTACTAATTGTTGATGTCGAATAAAAAGAATTTCATTTAAATATATAGTCAACTACCGTATCAATTACCATGTAATTACGAAGTGATTATAGTGTTTATACTTAATTAAAATTATCGTTCGTAGGTAATCACGTCACCTAGGAATGGCTAGTTAATTACTACCAGAGATCTCCTAGTGGTCAAATTACGATTATATGTAATTCATTAGGTTTTTGATTTGTATAAATAATCAGTATAATTTAAAATGTTATTGTGTCAACTTTTCGTATCAAGACAATTAAACATATTTAATACATTATACAGACCCAACAAATATGAATCACATTTTTATAACTTTCTACACTTCATTTAGTTTCTGTAGCCAATCCTATCCACCGCTGCACATGGGAGATATTTCGTTGGCCGTTGGATAATTCGGTGAGGAAGGCCGATCTCCTAGGCAAAGTCTTTGCATCCTACTCGACTTTGGCTGACGGGGGAAACGTGCCGCCGACCATACCGCGGTGCCAGCGCGGTATGGTCCTGAACTTCTGGTAGGTAGCGTTTGTGCACCCGATCCCTAAAAAATGTGACCGCTCTGACCCGTCTAACTACAGGCCTATAGCCTTGACTCCTTTGTTCTCTAAGAATATGGAATCCATAATCAACTGTCAGCTCCTCCGGTACTTAGATGATCACCAACTACTCAATGACCGATAATATGGTTTGCGCCGGGGTCGCTCAGCTGGTGATCTTCTCGTCTTTCTAACATACCGGTGGGCACAGGCGATCGAGGCCAAGGGAGAGGGTCTGGCATAAAGCGCTTCTCACGAAGCTTCCTTCTTATTGGCTTCCCGAGCAATTGTATAATTGAGTCACCAGTTTTCTTGGGGATAGAAGCATTAAGGTCGTTGTCGACGGTGCATTCTCCGACTTGAAATCCCGAAATAAATGCTGTCCCACAGGCTGTGTGCTATCTACCCACACTGTTCCTTCTGCATATCATAACAAACTAGTAGCATCCATTGCTATGCAGATGATAGCACGGGAGATCCCCTTTACACCGGCCGCCCGAATATTTCTAGGAAAACGTCATCGAGAGTCGAAACAAATTTGTGTCGTAAATTGAAACTTCCTTAGCGGAGACTTCAGATTGGGGCCGACTAAATCTTGTCCACTTCAACCCAAAAAGACAGGTCTGTGAGTTCACCGCAAAGAAGATACCATTTGTCCTATCACCTCAGTATTTCCCCCAGGCCGAATGCTTTCAGCTCTATAAGGCGCAAGTCCGGCCGCATATGGAATACTGTTCCCATCCCTATGCAGGGGCACCTCAATACTAGCTTCTCCCTCTGGACCGCATCCAACGAAGAGCGACTCTAATCGTCGATAGCCCAAACATCTCCGATCGGCTTGATACCTTGGCGTTACGTAGAGATGTGGCTTCACTCTGCATTCTCTATTGCATATATCATGGAGACTGCTCCGAGGAATTGTTCGGACTAATACTAGCCGTAACTTTCCGCCATCGTTCCACTGCAAAATTTTCATCCCCATCACCTGGATAGTTGGTGTTTTTTGCGCCGCACATCCAATCTGTGGAACGGGTTATCGTCTGCGGTATTTCCGGACCGATACGATCTTCAAACCTTCAAGATAAGAGCTTACTCTTTCCTAAAAGGCTGGCAACGCGTTTGTCACCCCTGAGTGGCAGACGTTCATGGGCGGCGATGGTCACTTTCCATCAGGTCACCCGTCTTCTTGTTTGCCCCCTCTAACATTAAGAAAAAACATTTCTTCTAGGTTATATATACCTAATTAACTAGAGATTAAACTGATAAGGGGTATCTGAACTGAGCAGTGTCATGCCTGACATTTCGCAGCACTGGCAGTGTAATACAATAGATACGACAGTGTGCATAGTTTAAGACCATTATTTCCAATACAATTCAAAAACAGGTGCTGAAGGCAACAATAACAGCAAGTTGTTTAGGTTGGTATTGGTCTGCAGTGGTTGTTTAGGAGCGATCGGACCTTAGAAGTTTCGGGATATATTTGTCTGCACTTATTTTATAGAAAACAATATTACAATAATACCGATAATAAATTAAATATTTTCTGCATCTAAATAGGAACAAGTTTCTTTTTAATAGGGTTTATCGCAGCCGAATTTATGGATTTTAAGGTAAACCAACTAAATTGAGCAAATTAAAAGTTATAGGAAGTAGTATACAATGCTCATACTGTATGTAAATATATTATTTTATGATCTTACGACCTTAATAACTATGACCAAATGATTAGTGAATTTTGTTGAGCCTGTTCTTTTTTCTATTGAAATGTAAAATGTAAATGCGTAATGTAAAAGGCGTTAGTAACGAAATCACGTCCTTTCTGCTAAAGGGTTTTAACTAAATTTTATTTTAAACATTAAAATTGGACGAAAAGTTATATATTATGCTGTGTTCTAACCGGAACCGTGGGCGAAAGCTGTTGTTCAAAACATAACAATATATTACGCTTTTTATTGAACTGACTTGCCCAAAATTGCTAAAATTATTATTATAATTTTTATACATTAACATACTAAGTTTAAACATATTGATTACATTCTTTAAATTGAACCTGTATAATACAAATGAATGAATGCAACAAAAATCTTTTAAAATAGGTTTCAAAATTTAATTCACTCTTCCAAGCAATCAGTGCGTGACTTTCATAATTCTAAACATTAAATTGTTCCTAATTTTGTATTTTGCTGTTAACTAGCGTAGCAGCAAAATC